GGCGTGGCTTGTGTATAAAAGAACAGGTATGTGCTTTATGCAGAACATTGTTGTCTTAACAACCCTGGAAATGGCAAAGAGACACGCCTATGAAGCCCAGTTTAAACTGAAGGCTATCAGCTACGCAGAGGAACATGGAAATCGAGCAGCTGCGAGAGAATTCAATATAAATGAATCGATGGTTCGCAAGTGGAGGAAGCTGGAAAACGAACTCCGACTGGTGAAGAAGACGCAGCTGAGTTTCCGCGGACATAAGGCGAGGTGGCCCGAGTTGGAGGAAAGACTGGAGCGGTGGATCGTGGAGCAAAGAACGAGTGGGGCCAGCGTTTCAACGGTCACTGTTCGACTAAAAGCAGTAAAGCTGGCGGAAGAAATGAAAATTGAAAATTTTCAAGGAGGTCCATCGTGGTGCTTCCGTTTTATGAAACGGTGCAATTTTTCCATCCGGACCAGGACTACAGTTGCTCAGCGACGTCCGGCGGATTATGATGAAAAGCTGGCGAGCTTCCACTCCTTCTGCAGCAAACACATCGCTGACAAAGTCATCCAGCCAAGCCACATCACCAACATGGACGAGGTGCCGCTCACTTTCGACATCCCGGTGAATCACTCGGTGGAGAAGAAAGGGACCAGCACTGTAGCGATACACACAACGGGGTATGAAAAGGCGTCGTTTACTGTTGTGCTTGGCTGCCACGCAAATGGACAGAAACTGCCGCCTATGGTGATTTTTAAAAGAAAGACTTTGCCTAAAGAGACTTTTCCAGCTGGAGTCGTTATTAAGGCGAATGAAAAAGGCTGGATGGACGAGGGGATGATGAAAGCTTGGCTGAGGGAGGTGTATGTAAGGAGACCAGGTGGTTTTTTCCACGCATCTCCATCTCTGTTAATTTGTGATTCCATGCATGCCCATCTCACAGCCGATGTGAAAAAAAAGCTCAAAGAAATGAACGCTGTGCTTGCTGTTATTCCGGGAGGTCTGACAAAGGAGCTTCAACCGCTCGACATCGGTGTGAACCGCCCGTTCAAAGTAAGGCTGCGAGCGGCGTGGGAGCGATGGATGACAGACGGAGAGCACAGTTTCACTAAAAGTGGAAGGCAGCGGCGGGCAAGTTACGCCACCGTTTGCAGATGGATTGTAGATGCTTGGACTAACGTTTCTGCTGGGACTGTTGTTCGAGCTTTTGCAAAAGCCGGCATCATTTCCAAGGAGCCGCCCGGCACGGAAAGTGACTCTGACAGCGAAGAAGATGGGGAAACTGGCATGTCGGATTTAGCGCAGCTGTTTAATTCCGAAACAGAGGATGAGGACTTTGAGGGGTTTGATTAATACTTTGTAATAAATACTTGAATAAAGCACAATCATACTCAGTTTTGCTCCAGCTCTATTTTTCTACCTAAAAAACTTAATTCAACAGCCGCCTCTGGGCCGCAGCGCATCCGGACTCACCTCAGCAGGTGTTTTTTCATCTAAATAATCTAAATCTTTTTAAGTGAGAAAGCCCACCGGAAAATTTAATCATTACAGTCAGTTCATCCAGATTATTATCCTGCCTATGTTTTAAGTTAATTTATGCGTCAATAAACGAAGAAGGGGAAACTGGCATGTCGGATTTAGCGCAGCTGTTTAATTCAGAAACAGAGGATGAGGACTTTGATGGGTTTGATTAATACTCTGTAATAAATACATGAATAAAACACAATCATACTCAGTTTTGCTTCAGCTCTATTTTTCTACCTAAAAAACTTAATTCAACAGCAGCCTCTGGGCCGCAGCGCATCCGGACTCACCTCAGCAGGTGTTTTTTCAACTAAATAATTTAAATCTTTTTAAGTGAGAAAGTCCACCTGAAAATTTAATCATTGCAGTCAGTTCATCCAGATTATTATCCTGCCTATTTTTTAAGTTAATTTATGCGTCAATAAACTGTATCAGAGGAGTAATCACAGCCCTGTGTCATCAGCGATGTGTCTCTCACGGCAGGTTCCCAGGTTTTAATAATACTTTGTAATAAATACACCTTGCAGCTTTATTTGCTGTGATCAGTGGGAATAAAGTAGTTTTAATATGTTTTTAAGTGAGAAAATCCACCTGAGAGGACATGTACCTGTATATAAAAAACGCGCCCTATAGTCCGGTGCGCCTTATGTGTGTGTTAAATACAGAAATGGGACACATAACTGAGAGTGCGCCTTTTAGTCCGGTGCGCCTTATGGTCGTGAAAATACGGTACTCTTAATCTGATCATTATTATTTCTTCCCTTCGGTTTCTCTCATTAATATTTCTATTTAATACTGACTTTTGTACTTTATATAACCTTCTTCCTTTTTATCTTCATTCCACCTTTTTTTTTTGCCATTTTTCAGTTTCTTTCCTCTTAATAAATGATTTTCCTTCCCCTTTCCCTAAAGGAATTGTAATTGTTATTTGTCTACTTTTCATTCCACCTAACTTTCCATTAATTAGCTTGAAAACAGCACTTTGTAGGCACCCAGTTTCTCTAACAATGGCCCTTTTTGGGTTACCCTCCATGCATTGGGTGTCAGTTCAGTGGCAGTTCCAGAACATTTTCTTAGGGTTGACCAGGCAGCACAATAATGTGCATGTGGCCAAAAAGTAATAGGGATCAAATTCGGTTCAGAGTCAAGCTATTGGGATCAGGCATCAGGTTCAATTCGCATATTTTCTTAGCCAAAACAAGGATTTGTTGGGCTACTGTAATTTTGAATTGAAAAACGTCCTGAATGGGAAGTCTTCAAACTTGAAAAACAAAGTCCAAAGTTTTTTTTTTTTTTTTTTTTTGGAATGATTATGACCTGGATGTCTAAGAATCTTCACCAGCTTATCAGGGAAATGAATGCCCACAATGTCTATATTCTCCAAAAGAGAATAACAGAACAGACCTTCATGAGGCCCTTGTTAAAGCTATGCATATATTTATGCATCTATGCTCTTCAAATAACTTTCTGGTTCGACGCAACATTTACATTTAATGGGTTGAGAGGTTGTTCTTTACCAGTAAATACACAAAAGATTCCCAGATGACTGCCGATGCAAACTCTCCCCTATAAAACCTAAAACTAATTCTTATAAGAGAGTAAAATCTGTATTAGTCTTCATTAAATGTAGCATATTGTTGTACATAAGCGATTGCTTTATTTTTGGTGTCAGCTTTTGGTCAATATGCTAACCTTAAAAGGTCAAAGTGGGAAAATGTAGTAGTAGTAGACAAATTAGCAATTAGAGGAGGCAATAACAATTACAATTCCTTTAGGGAAAGGGGAAGGAAAATCATTTATTAAGAGGAAAGAAATTGAAAAATGGCAAAAAAGGTGGAATGAAGATAAAAAAGGAAGAAGGTTATATAAAGTACAAAAGTCAGTATTAAATAGAAATATTAATGAGAGAAGAAATAATAATGATCAGATTAAGAGTAGGTCATACTTATTTAAATGACAATTTATACTTAATAGGGAGGAAAAATAATGATAAATGTGAAGGATGTGGAGAGATAGAAAATGTATAACACGTATTAATGAACTGTAAAACATCTGGACCTGAAAGGAAGAAATTGAAAAGAGGACAGGCCAAGAATGGAGTCTTAAAGGATTATTGGGAAATAAAGGAAATATAAAAGATATTTATAGATTAAGGAAAGCATTATTTATTTATCTTCAGAATACAAAATTAAAAAATAGAATTTAATAGATGTAAAACAATGTTGCTACACACTCATGAACAGTAGGTGGCGGTATGCCCGCCCCTTCCCTAGAGCCCGGTGGGATCGAAAACATTTTGAATGGAAATCAGTGGGGAGAAATTAATAAACTTTTGGTCCCAGTCGCTCTCTGTCACTGATTCCAGATATGCTGGTTGTGTATTCAAATTGTTTTTTGTTTTTTTTAGTTCCTCTTTGGTCAAAATCTGGTCAAAACCCATCAATGAGATCGCACCAAACAGGAAGTTAATTGCACAAAGGATCCGGTAGATTTCCAAAAAAAACACATCCGATCTTAACCCATGATCCTTTTTCTAAACTAGTTTAATTAGTTTCTCCTGTATGCCACGACGTAATGCATTGATCTGAAAATCAACCTCAGACGCAACGCACGCAGTGGCGAGGGTTTGATCCGTCAGATGGAGTTAAATCACAAAGGATTCAATGTTGAATCGGGGCGGCAGCTAAATGCTAGGCGATGGGTAGCAGCCAAAACGTTGCAATTTCACATAATCCTGACGAGATCCGAAAACCCGTAGCAAAAACTAGCAAGCGGGTGATTATGTATGTTCACTAAGTAAATATTATGTAAATAAACCCTACACTTCTCGCTATAAATGTAATCAAAACCCATTTAAATGCAGAAACTGATTGAAATTATTGATTTTCCCACTAAAAGTTAGAGAAATTTCAGCCATGTTTATACTAAAATGTTACAGTTTCACATTATCTTGAAAAATCTTTGCAAGAAACGAACAAGCAAGTGAATATGTACATTCCCTGAGTAAATATTCTGGCAAAAAACTATACATTTCTCACTAGAAATGTAATCAAAACTCATTTTAATGCAAAAACAAACTCAAGTCATTAATCTTTCCACAAAAAAATGAGCGAATGTCGGCCATATATATATATTTTTTTCTTCTCCCAGCTGGAATCTAGGACGTAAAACAATAGAAAGCGTATAGGCAGAAGAACAATAGAAAGCGTATAGGCAGAAGAAACGTAACAGTACCACAAAAAAATGGCCATTAATGTACCTCCACTACGTTTTGCAGTGTGGACCAACGTAGTGGGGGTACATTTTCCCATGAGACTGGGTTGCCATAGGAGCCCCCATTTTGTTTTTGTTTTAGATCTTTGTTAGTCTGTAATTCCATTTGACTAGTTTTACTTTTTTTAATAAAACTAATGGTCAAAGATCAGTTTGACCAGGATAATATTCACTCTTTCCTGGTTTTAGCACTTGGTCTCCAAACCCAAGTTCTGTCAGTACTTACAGAACTTTGGTTGAAGCTTTGACCACTGGCAGCAGCCTGAGAAGAGCCTCCTCTGAAGCAGAGTATTTATTTAGGTCAAACACATCCAGATCTTCTCCTGATGTCACTAAGATGAAGGCCAGAGTTGACCACTGAGCAGAAGACAGTTTATCTATGGAGAGACTTCCTGATCTGAGAGACTGTTGGATCTTCTGGACCAGAGAACGATCATTCAGTTCATTCAGACAGTGGAACAGGTTGATGCTTTTCTCTGCAGACAGATTTTTATTGATCTTCTTCTTGATGTACTGAACTGTTTCCTGATTGGTCAGTGGACAAATTTCTGTCTTTGTCATCAGACCTTGTAGGAGAGTCTGATTTGTCTGCAGTGAAAGACCCAGTAGGAAACGGAGGAACAGGTCCAGGTGTCCATTGAGACTCTGTAAGGCCTTGTTAACAGCACTGTAATGGAGATTACTTAGTTTCGATTTCTTAGCTAATTTAGCCCTAACAGATATGTTTTTTTGTTCCCCCATCAGATTGACTCCATCCTTGATGAAGGTCAGATGAACATGAAGAGCAGCCAGAAACTCTTGAACACTCAAATGGATGAAGCAGAACACCTTGTCCTGGTTCTGGTACAGCCCTCTCTCCTCTTTAAAGATCTCTGTGAACACTCCTGAGTAAACTGAGGCAGCTCTGATATCAATGCCACACTCTTTCAGGTCTGATTCATAGAAAATCAAGTTTCCTTTCTGCAGCTGATCAAAAGCCAGTTTTCCAAGAGACTCAATCATCATCCTGCTCTCTGGAGTCCAGTGTGGATCTGTTTCAGCTCCTCCATCATACTTGATCTTCTTCGCTTTGGTCTGAACCACCAGGAAGTGGATGTACATCTCAGTCAGGGTGTTGGGCAGCTCTCCTCCCTCTCTGGTCTCCAATACTCCCTCCAGAACCGTAGCAGTGATCCAGCAGAAGACTGGAACGTGGCACATTATCTGAATGCTTCTAGATCTATTAATATGGGAGATTATCCTGATGGCCTGCTTTTCATCTCTGAATCTCTTTCTGAAGTACTCCTCCTTCTGTGGGTCACTGAACCCTCTGACCTCTGTCACCATGCCAACACAGTCAGGAGGGATCTGATTGGCTGCTGCAGGTCGTGTGGTTATCCAGAGGAGAGCAGAGGGAAGCAGTTTCCCCCTGATGAGGTTTATCAGCAGAACATCCACTGAGGTGGACTCTCTAATATCAGACAGGATCTCCTTGTTCTGGAAGTCCAGAGGAAGTCGACTCTCATCCAGACCATCAAAGATGAACAGAACCTGGAAGTGATCAAAGCTGCAGATTCCTTTGGTTTCAGTGAAAAAGTGATGAACAAGTTCCACCAAGCTGAACTTTTTTTCTTTCAGCACATTCAGCTCTCTGAAGGTTAATGGAAATATGAACTGGATGTTCTGATGGGCTTTGCCTTCAGCCCAGTCCAGAGTGAACTTCTGTGTTAAGACTGTTTTCCCAATGCCAGCCACTCCCTTTGTCATCACTGTTCTGATTGGTTGATCTCTTCCAGGTGGGACTTTAAAGATGTCTTCTTGTCTGATTGTTGTTTCCGGTCTGTGAGTTTTCCTGGATGCTGTTTCAATCTGTCTGACCTCATGTTCATCATTGACCCCCCCAGTCCCTCCCTCTGTGATGTAGAGCTCTGTATAAATCTGGTTCAGAAGGGTTGGACTTCCTGGTTTAGTGATCCCCTCAAACACAGACTGGAACCTCTCAGACTTGATTTAAGGTTATGTTGACAAACTTCGGAACAATATCCTGAAGGAACATAAAATATCAATAGTATTGGAACAAGTCATAGTAATTGATTTTCTGTTTTTCTGTTCTTCTGAATGGAATGAATGAATAATTTATCCATCATGTTAAATATTAATAGAAATCCTCTTACTACTCTGCAGACGTTCAGCCAGCACATCCTGCTTTATCCTCCTCAGGAAGTTCATGGTGATCTTAACAAAGGCCTCTCTGCTCCTTTTCTCCTCTTCATCCTCACCTTCCAACACCTCCTCAACCTCCCTTTGACCTTTTGTATCATCTGGACTCAGAACCTTCTGTATCTTCTTCAGCTCATTCTTCACAAAACTAACAATGTTTTCCTCCAGCAGCTGAACAGGAAAAAAAAAATTTAAGGACACATCTGACTTGTACAAAAGTTAATGCCTGTTCATGAAAATTCCTTCCTTACCAGAGTTCTTAAACACACCACATGCATACCACTCAGTCCGGAGCAGACAGCGGTTTAATGATCTGCAGTGTGTGCATCCATAGAGCTGTAAGTTAATATGTGTATTTTGTGTTACACTCTGTGTTTGTGTTAACCCCCTATGCCTACATTGATAGCTTAGCATTAGTTTGCTGCCATTTGCATTGTGTATTGTATGGTGAATGGTTAGCTAAAATTAGTGATTTGTTTTTAGCTGCTAACTAGCCGTAGGCTAGGAGTTTTATGTTGCAGTATTGCTAATCCCTGTTGATTATACACTATATTGCCAAAAGTATTTGCTCACCTGCCTTGACTCACATATGAGCTTAAGTGACATCCCGTTCCTAATCCATAGGGTTCAATATGACGTCGGTCCACCCTTTGCAGCTAGAACAGCTTCAACTCTTCTGGGAAGGCTGTCCACAAGGTTTAGGAGTGTGTTTATGGGAATTTTTGACCATTCTTCCAGAAGCGCATTTGTGAGGTCGCACACTGATGTTGGACGAGAAGGCCTGGCTCTCAGTCTCCGCTCTAATTCATCCCAAAGGTGTTCTATCGGGTTGAGGTCAGGACTCTGTGCAGGCCAGTCAAGTTCATCCACACCAGACTCTGTCATCCATGTCTTTATGGACCTTGCTTTGTGCACTGGTGCACAGTCATGTTGGAAGAGGAAGGGGCCAGCTCCAAACTGTTCCCACAAAGTTGGGAGCATGGAATTGTCCAAAATCTCTTGGTATGCTGAAGCATTCAGAGTTCCTTTCACTGGAACTAAGGGGCCAAGCCCAGCTCCTGAAAAACAACCCCACACCATAATCCCCCCTCCACCAAACTTTACACTTGGCACAATGCAGTCAGACAAGTACCGTTCTCCTGGCAACCGCCAAACCCAGACCCGTCCATCAGATTGCCAGATGGAGAAGCGCGATTCGTCACTCCAGAGAACGCGTCTCCACTGCTCTAGAGTCCAGTGGCGGCGTGCTTTACACCACCGCATCCGACGCTTTGCATTGCACTTGGTGATGTATGGCTTGGATGCAGCTGCTCGACCATGGAAACCCATTCCATGAAGCTCTCTGCGCACTGTTCTTGAGCTAATCTGAAGGCCACATGAAGTTTGGAGGTCTGTAGTGATTGACTCTGCAGAAAGTTGGCGACCTCTTCGCACTATGCGCGTCAGCATCCGCTGACCCCGCTCCGTCAGTTTACGTGGCCTACCACTTCGTGGCTGAGTTGCTGTCGTTCCCAAACACTTCCATTTTCTTATAATACAGCTGACAGTTGACTGTGGAATATTTAGGAGCGAGGAAATTTCACGACTGGATTTGTTGCACAGGTGGCATCCTATCACAGTTCCACGCTGGAATTCACTGAGCTCCTGAGAGCGACCCATTCTTTCACAAATGTTTGTAAAAACAGTCTGCATGCCTAGGTGCTTGAATTTATACACCTGTGGCCATGGAAGTGATTGGAACACCTGATTCCAATAATTTGGATGGGTGAGCAAATACTTTTGGCAATATAGTGTATATCGAATGCTGAATGCTGGTATGATATTCGAGCCTTTGAGTTTTATTTTATTTTCTATGTTCTGAATCTGTACTGTATGTTTGTATTTCAGAAACCACACACCACACCCTAACAGAGCCTTAAATGCAGATAAATCAATCAAACCTGGTTTAAGGAGTCTGTCTCTTCTTACTGCAAGCACCTGAACATTTCTAAAGTGACCTGACCCGGCACCCTGAATTGATTGTTGCCACCTAAGTTCCATATACAGTCAGTCTATACAGTCTATACAAGACTGAAATAATGGAGCCAAACATCAGCTCCATGTTAGACAGACTGATAGTCCTCTTGTCTACAAAGTGCTGCATGGAGATGACTGTGAACAGAACCCATGGGTAAGTAGTTGTAGTACGTGTACAGACCATAAATATGGAGTCCAGCTGGGTTTGATGCTGCTGGGCAGATGGACCACTGGGAACCTCTGAGTTCTGCTGGTCCACCCTGTGGAGGAACCAGGAAGCATTAACTCATATGCAGTAGAACAACATACAGACACAGACCAAGGTGCTTGTGGTGTTCTGATCCTAAAGCTACAGTCAGGTCCATAAATATTGGGACATCAACACAATTCTAATCTTTTTGGCTCTATACACCACCACAATGGATTTGAAATGAAACAAACAAGATATGCTTTATCTATAGACTTTCAGCTTTAATTTGAGGGTATTTACATCCAAATCAGATGAACGGTGTAGGAATTGCAACAGTGTGTATATGTGCCTGCTACTTTTTAAGGGACCAAAAGTAATGTGACAGATTAATAATCATAAATCAAACTTTCACTTTTTAATACTTGGTTGGAATTCCTTTGCAGTCAATTACAGCCTGAAGTCTGGAAGGCATAGACATCACCAGACGCTGGGTTTCATCCCTGGTGATGCTCTGCCAGGCCTCTACTGCAACGGTCTTCAGTTCCTGCTTGTTCTTGGGGCATTTTCCCTTCAGTTTTGTCTTCAGCAAGTAAAATACATGCTCAATCGGATTCAGGTCAGGTGATTGAATTGGCCATTGCATAACATTCCACTTCTTTCCCTCACAAAACCCTTTGGTTGTTTTCGCAGTATGCTTTGGGTCATTGTCCATCTGCACTGTGAAGCGCCGTCCAATGAGTTCTGAAGCATTTGGCTGAATATGAGTGGATAATATTGCCTGAAACACTTCAGAATTCATCCTGCTGCTTTTGTCAACAGTCACATCATCAATAAATACAAGAGAATCAGTTCCATTGGCAGCCATACATGCCCACGCCATGACACTACCACCATGCTTCACTGATGAGGTGGTATGCTTTGGATCATGAGCAGTTCCTTTCCTTCTCCACACTCTCCACAAGTTGAACTTGGTCTCATCCGTCCAAAGGATGTTGTTCCAGAACTGTGAAGGCTTTTTTAGATGTTGTTTGGCAAACTCTAATCTGGCCTTCAGGCTTTTGAGGCTCACCAATGGTTTACATCTTGTGGTAAACCCTCTGTATTCACTCTGGTGAAGTCTTCTCTTGATTGTTGACTTTGACACACATACACCTACCTCCTGGCGAGTGTTCTTGATCTGGCCAACTGTTGTGAAGGGTGTTTTTTTCTCACCAGGGAAAGAATTCTTCACTCATCCACCACAGTGGTTTTCCGTGGTCTTCCGGGTCTTTTGGTGTTGCTGAGCTCACCGGTGCGTTCTATCTTCTTAAGAATGTTCCAAACACTTGATTTGGCCACACCTAATGTTTTAGCTATCTCTCTGATGGGTTTGTTTTGATTTTTCAGCCTAATGATGGCTTGCTTCACTGATAGCGACAGCTCTTTAGATCTCATATTGAGAGTTGACAGCAACAGATTCCAAATGCAAATAGCAGACTTGAAATGAACTCTACACCTTTTATCTGCTCCTTGTAAATCGGATAATGAGGGAATAACACACAACTGGCCATGGAATAGCTGAGCAGCAGATTGTCCCATTACTTTTGGTCCCTTAAAAAGTGGCAGGCACATATACACACTGTTGTAATTCCTACACCGTTAATCTGATTTGGATGTAAATACCCTCAAATTAAAGCTGAAAGTCTGTAGATAAAGCACATCTTGTTTGTTTAATTTCAAATCCATTGTGGTGGTGTATAGAGCCAAAAATATTAGAGTTGTGTTGATGTCCCAATACTTATGGACCTGACTGTAACCTCGTCCTTGTGATTTTCTTCCAGAAAGCCAGGTCTCCCTAAAGACCTGGAAACCCATGCCTTGGATCAGAATCTGAGAGACACCTGAAACGTTCCCTCATTCCAGAGAAGAACCCTGGATCCATCTATCAGCCCTCCTACCTGCGCTCGCCTATTCAGAGTCACACGTTCAAAATATGACACTTTGTGTTTACATTTTTCCCAACAGCATGTGTCACAGGTATCCAACAACTCAATCAGCCCACTGCTGAGACTTGGCCACCACACTGAATGTTTGGCATTTTTTCTACATTTAGTCAATCCCAGTTAACCTCGTGTAGCTTAGATAGAATGCACTTTCTGAGAGAAGCTGGAATAAATATCCTGTAACCATATAGGAGCAGGCAGATAGAAAATGGCAGAAAATGGCAAAAAAGCATGTATCTCTTTCTCAAACGCCTATTTATCTGGCCATCCTTCCAAACAGAACTTTTTCAGCTGTTTGGATATTATCTCGTCATCCTTATGTCTTTGGATTTCCCTCACTCCTGGTTCCGTGGCAGCTAAACATGCAATGACTCAGCCAACATACAAGTTTATCTCCTCTTCTTGCAGTTCCCTGGAGCTCTGGACAAAACATCAGCTGTAGCAATATTTTTGCCAGACACATGGGAAATAGTGTAAGAACCGTGTACCGAGTCCATATGATGCATATGCTAACACACGTCTCTGAATTCGGGTCATACAATACTAGTCCTGGTGGTGTTGTCAGATCTGTTTTAATGGTGTTGAATGCTTGTTGCTATATGTTTGTCTTCTTCAGAAGACTTCTCAAAGATCTGGTTTTCTCTTCCAGGTCTGGGACGAACTTCATGAGTCGAAACAGTACCTTTCTTAGTCTGCCATTGTGCACTTGCTGCATCGTCCCCCAGATTAGGACATCATCCATCTCCCAAGGTTTTAAAACAGTATCCATGATCACACCCCCTGCAGTCAGAGCTCCCTATATTGAGGAGTCTCCAATATGGGACTTCTGTTATGGGCAAAGGAAAGACCTATAGGTTGGGGATGCCTGCTTTAGCGGGCCAGATCCTGAGCCTTTTAGCGGGCCAGATCCCAAGCCAGAGCCCTTTAGTGGGCAAGATCCCGAGCCCTTTAGCACAGATATCCCCAACCTCGAGGCCCACTGTCCTGTAGGTTTTAGAGGTTTTCCTGCTTTGGCACAGCTGATTATAATGATTGCAGGAGACCAAAAGACTGTTAATCAACTTTTCAATTAAAATCAGCTGTGCTGGAGCAAGGAAACCTCTAAAATCTGCAGCACAGCAGGCCTTGAGGACCGAGGTTGGGGATGCCTGTTTTAGCGGGCCAGATCCCGAGCCAGAGCCCTTTAGCGGGCCAGATCCCCTAGCACCAGAGCCCATTGGCGGGCCAGTTCCTCTAGCACCAGAGCCCATTAGCGGGCCAGTGCCCTATTATGGACCAGAATCTGTGCTGTCCAGGGATGCCTGAGCAAGCTCTGTGCCGTCAAGAGACCCCTTAACCTGCTCTGTTCCGTCCAGAGACCTCTGAGCACAAAAATGAAGTGGTCTCTGATTTGAACCTTGGGGATAGTTAATCTACAAGACCCCTCAGCTGGCCCTCCAAGCCTCCAAGAGCCCAGTATATCTTCTGCCTGATTTCTTATCCTGACTAAGTTTAAACCTTTGGATCAGAGTCATAACTGCTGATGGACAAACAAGTTAATTTATCTGCTAGTTGTTTGTTTCACTTGTTCTAGTCTTAAACTGATGATCAAACCCCTTTACAGCAGCAGCTTTACTCTGAGCTGACTATTTTTGAACTTCTATTAGACTTTTTATCGTAATACGGAACATGGTGGTGCATTCAAGGAACTTTCATTAATATTGCAATCCACATTACATTTCCTATCATTCATTTTGTTATCACCAAACTTCAAACTTACTCTAAGCAGCAGGTCAATGATCTTGTATTTCTAATGACATGAAGCAGTTGTTGAGGGAGACTGTAGAGCAGTTTGCTAATATTCAGACCTTGACTTATTTCAGATTTTGAATGAACAGATTAACTTTAGAAGCTGCTGTTTTCACTGATATTTGCAGATAACAGTGAGAGATCGTGTTTTTTTCCATCAGATTTAGTTAGGATGATTTAGATTCCATCTAATAGCTAAATCAGCATCATGACTTGCCTACATGTGCATCACCTTAAGCTCTGCAGAAGCACCAACTAATGTGAACCAGAGTTGATCCAGGTGATCCAGAAAGATTCAACTGGATGGAAGGACAACTGATTTTAGCTTCAATATCATCTAACAAGATCATTTAATTTCATCACAATAAAACAATCCTTTGATTATTTCCATTATTTAACCACTGTCGATTACTGCTTCAAATGTGAACACAGACATGTGAGAAAGAGTTGTGTTCACATTAATGCATTGGAATGAAGTAAGTTTAAACTAATTAGTGGAACATTTAGAAACAGCTCACCTGTTTGATGATGACGGTTGGTCTGATTTAAAATCAATGCCGACACCTTTTGACATGTTGGTCTTTAAAGACACACAGCTGGGTTCTGGTTCAGGTTCTGGTTGTTTCCTGCGTATAAATACGGTTTGGTGATATTCATGCTGAGCTCTGACATGGAGAACAGTCATTGACATTTAGATAAGGCGATCTGACCTCTGAGCTTTGCTCTGGTCTTCATGTTCTCCACACAGAGTGGTTTTAGAGGGAGAGACGCTGTCCTTTGTGTCCTCACAATGATCCATACTGCTCACTTCACATCAGCTCACAGACCTGGAGCTGCAGCCAAGAACACACAGGATAAAGCTACATCTACATTCACTGATTCCTACCTGTAGGATACAGTAGCTGTTTACTACCTATTACAAAAATAAAGATGTGATACTAAAGACATTAAAAACAAAAACGAAGGGCTGATAAAATTTGTCGAAATTAAATCATTTTTAAATTAATTAAATCATTACAGCTTGAAAGTGCAGTGAATGAATTCCAGACTCCAACACTTATTCCGTCTAACTTCTTACTGCATTATGGGCGTGTTGCAGTCTTAGAATGCACAACCCATGTACGGAGGACTTAGTCCTCGACGTGGCCTTGAATCCAGCATGTGGTCCTTTGCTGCATGCCTTTCTCCGCTTCTGTCAGTGAGCCCCAGGGCAGCTATGGCTACAATGTAGCTTGCCACCATCAGTGTGTGAGTGTGTGCATGAATGGGTGAATGAATGTAGTGTAAAGCGCTTTGGCCAAGTCTCCTGACTTGAATAAAAAGGCACTATATAAGTACATGCCATTTAGCATTTTACTATTTTGCTTGTCGATTGACATTAAAGGAGAAAATGAAAGTTTGATCTAAAGACCTAAAAAAGAAGCAAATTTTTAAGTTAAGAACAAACATCATCTGCTTCTCATGTTGACTGTTTCAAAAAATAATCTGGTAATCCTGGAGATTTTTCTTCATTTACAGTGTTGTGGGGAAAAGTATTCAACTATTCATCCTAGTTAAATAAACTGAGATCGATGGATTTCACTCAGTCGGGACATTTATTCATATCTTTGCAAAGAGAGAACAGTTCATCATACAGCCCTAATGGCACAGCATTCTGCTCTGTTCTGATCTGGGCAGCATTCGTCCCCCCCCACTTAACAAACACCATCCTGCAGGGAATGGTGTGGCCTTGAGAGAGAAACAGACTGAGTGAAAACTTTCATAGTGAGTAAATATGATAAATTAATACATAATAGAAGAAAGATAAAAATTTTCCGACAACAGCACCTTCCTCTCAGTGCTTTAAGTCACATTCCCCTCTCATCACATACTTTTCTCATCACCATATCTTTGCTTTTCTCATTAACATACTTTTACATTTTCCAAACTACACCAAACAGATTACCAAATATATGGGATGTCTTTTGGAAAATGCAACTAAAATATATAAAAGCTATGAGTTTATTAATTAAAATTATAGATTTTGCAAAAAGTAAATAATTAATTCCTGAAAGATTTGAATCAAAGGGGCCCATTTTTTCCGAGAGAGTGAAATAATATTAATAATTTTGTGGCCCCAATTTTTAAAATAAATATTTTTAAAAAATTTAAAAAAACGAAAAAACCCTTGTTTTAATGGTTTTTAAATCTGGGAGGGATAAAAAATTTAAAAAATTCCAAAAATTTTCCCGAATTGGGCTAAAATAGCACCTAAACATAAAGTTATAAATGGTTGGTTTTACAGCAAAAATATTAACTGATTCGCTTTTATGTGAAAGGGGTTTTAAAATAAACCCGCGTTTAAATAAATTTTAGACTGAAAAAAGCGTCCATTTTAACCGGTTTGCCCAGGTTTAAAACCCCTTTTGGAAGGTTCGGTAAAGGAAATGGGCAGGCCCTAAGGGTTCCGCCCCCCCCACCCCCCCCCAAATTTTTGAAAAAAAAAGGGGGCCCTTTGAAAACCCAAACATTTAATACGGGGAAAATGGCAATAAATTACAAACCGTTTAAAAAATCTTTTAATTTTTTTTGGCCCTTTTTGGGGTTGGGGTGTTTTTTTGTTTTGGGGGGTCCTTTTTCCGGGGGGTTTTTCCTAATTTTTGTGGTCTGAAAAAATTGGTTGGGTTGGAAAAACCACTCTACCTAAAAGTATGTTGTCCTTTGTGAAATTTTATTTAAAAGTTATTTTTGGGGTTTTTTTGGGGTTAAAATTTTTTGGGGAAATGAAATTTTAAAGGTTTTTAAACTGTAAAAAATAAGGGGGGCCAAAGGGTTTTTTTAAATTTCTGGGTTTTCCGTTGGTTTCTTTTTTCCTTTTTACACCGGGGGTTTTTAAAACAAGCGGGGAAGTTTAAAATTTTTGTTTTTGGGAGTTAATTTCATAGTCTGTTAAAAATTTGGGAAATTTAAAGGTAATTAAAAAAATTAAAAAGGGGGGTTTTCCAAAAATTTTAACAACAAATAAAGTTTAAATTTTAAAGGGATTTTGCTTTTTTTTAAACAAAAAATTGGGAAATTTCCCTTTCAAATTTAAACCCCAAGGACCCTTTGCCCATTTTTTTTAAAGGGGTTTTAAATTGTTTAAAGTTTTAATTTGGGTTAAAACCCTTAATTCATTAAATTTGGGGGAAAACCCCTTTAGGGGAAAAAAAAAACTAAATTTTGGAGGGGGGGGTAAGGCAAACAAAAATACCCTTGGTTATAAAAATAAATTTGGGGGCGGGGGTTGGAATTTTTTGGCTTTTAAAAAAATTTTTTAAACCAAAAATTTCTTTAAAAAAGGTAAAAATTTTCCTAAAAGGACCCCCGGGGAAATTTTAAAATTTTTGGCCAAATTCATTTAAACAAAAAAAATTTTTTTTGTTAACAAATTTTTACGGTTTGTTCAAATGTTTTCAAATTGGAATTAAATTTAAATTAATAAATAAAACCATTATTTAAAAATTTTAATAATAATAAGGTTTAACCATTAAATTAATAAAGGGGATTACAAGGATAAGGGTTTTAAAAATAAAAAGGGGATTTTAATTTTTTTCCTTTAAAATTTAAAGGGGAATGGTGGGGGTTTTTAAAATAACCAAATTTTAAAATTTGGAATTTTTCCAAAGGGTTTCAGAAATTTTTGGAATTTAAAATTGATGGAAACTTTTTTTGGTTTTCTTTTCAAAAACATTGTTTTTAAAAAACTTTTTTTTTCTTGATTTGAAGAAAAAGGGTTGGAAAGGGGAAAAATTAAAAAAACAAGAGAAAAAACGGGGGCCAAAGGGGTTTAAACTAAATTAAAGGGGGGAATAAATATGGGGAAACCTGTTTTTTTTTTTTTCCTTTTGGGGGGAAACTTTTTTAAGGGGTGGAATTTGGGGGTTGGGGGGAAAATTGGGAAGAAAACAGGGAAATAAATTTTTAAAACAACCCTAAATAAAAATTTACTAAATTAGGGGACTAAAAACCGGGGGGAAATGGAAAAAAAAAATATGGGTTTTAAAGGGGGGCCTTAATAAAAAGGAAAATTAAAATCAAAAATTTAAAGGTTAATTCTTGGGAGCAGCAGAGGACAAAAACCGGACTTGCCTTTTTAAGGCCCCTTTGGTGGGGGGGAAGTTTGAAAAAAACCTTTTCAGCGGGAACTGCCTTGAGGGGGGCCTTTTTGGGATAAAACCAGGGTTTGTTTGATTTGGTTTGTTGATTGTTTTCGATCTTTGGGGGCACCCCGGGTTTGGGGGGTTTTTCTTTTAAAACCTCAATGAAAACACCCTTTTTTGTTTCCCTGGTTTTTCCCTTTTTTGGGGATTTTATTTTTTTGTTTCCCCTTTTTTGGGAAACTTTTTGGGGTTCTAAACCCCGGGGGGGGAAACCCAATTTTTTTTTTCCAACCAAAAAAAAAAATCGGGTGTAAGGGGCAAAGATAAAGGGGGGAAGTGGGGGCAGGTTTTTTTAATTTGGGGAATGAAAATGTTTTTCCTTTGAGGGAAATTGTTTTGGATTTCTGCGGGTGAAGAAGTGAAAAGGGTTTCCGAATAAAAGGAAGAAAAATTTACTGGGTAAGAAATAAAAATTAGGGAATAATTCTTGATTTTTGACAAAGTTCAAATTTTCCAATTTTAATCTAAAATTTTTTAAAAGCTAAAATAATTTAAATTTTGATCTACAAATTGTTTGTGAAAGGGTAAAAATAACACTGATCTGACCCTTTCCCAGCTCCAAAAATTTCAGCAGGGTTGGTAATTTTGACCCCAGGGGACTCACACGGTCGACCTTTTTTCCGGCCCCACAGAACGGACCAGACTCTGACCTTTTGGCCTAAACCTAACTGAAAAGGGGGAAAACATTAAAATAAACCCTACAAGACCTTTTTTCCCCTCAGAAAACGGCTTTAAAAGGGGGCCCAAGGCCCCCTGGAGATCCTGTTTGGGGGAAACCACTCAGCCACCCTTTCCCACCCGGGAAAAAAGGAGGGGGGGCTCAAAGTCATCAAAAGAATGTAAATCAGAGCTCATCAAAGCTCATCGGGAAAGGGGAACCGGGAAAACTTAAAACAAAAAAAAATCAGAATAATGGGGCAGAAAACCCCCCTCTGTTTGGTTAATTAACACACCCAAGCCCACCTCATGTGTTGGGGAAACCAGCTTTTCCCTGCAGCCCAAACCCATTGAACCTTGTTAAAAAAGGTTCGCCTGAAAAAGGGCCCCCAAACATAAACCCAGAAAGTAAAAGCCCGCCCCCCTGAAAAAATTGCCCTGACATAAAGTTTTGGGGTTTTTTTTGTTTTTTTAAATTTTAATACAACAGTAATGAAAGGGGAAAAGTGTTTTTGATGTTTGTTTTTTTAATGAAAGGTAAAAAATTGTTGAAAATCTGAGTGTTTGATATTAGCTTCTTAATACAAAATAAAGTCCAAGTGTTAGATGAGCACCTGATGGCTGATGGTCAGTATTGGCAGAGATTTCTGGATTAGAGAATGAACTCTGATGATCGGGTCATCTCAGCTACCATTGGGGAAGAGGAGCGCTGAGATTAAATCCTCCAACTTTTCTATGTGTGCTTTGACTGACCCTGATTCTGAAGAGCTGAACTGAATCTGTGTGAAACATCTTTGTGTTATGGTTTTAAAATTTTGCATAGAGATTGATCCTTTTTTTTTTTTACTTTTAACGAAGCTCAGATTAATAATTTGACTTACCCTTTGTAGAGATTAAGGAGTCTATTGTTTTTGAATGATTCGAATTTTTCTCTTTCCAGAGAAACAAAAAGGGTAACTGATAATGATAAGAACTAAAAATTTACATTTCCAGCAAATAGATATTTTACCATAAAATTATCATAATGGGGAAAAACAGTAAATATTTTTGCCAACTAAGATGTGATTCCAGGGCTCTATTTATTGGCAACATATTTTAGCTATCATAATCTTTTCCATAATTTTTCCATCTATTATGATCATTTAACATTGTCCACCGACTTAATGCAGTTGTGGATTTTTGATTCATTATTTTTAATTATCATTATTTTTCTTATTATTATTTTTTTAATATTTTTAGTGTCTTAGATTTTAGCTTTCTTTACATATATTCACAATTTTCAGTTTCTTAGTTTTAGCTTTCTTTACATATACTCACAATTTTAGTTTCTTAGTTTTTTATATTCATAAATTTAAATTTTTTTATAATATCGATTACACAAGGATAATATCCTTTTATAATCGAAAGGGTGGACTGTTGTCGTAAATTTTTTTTATCTTTCTTCTATTATGTAATAATTTATGCTATTTACTCAATATAAAAGTTTTCACTCAGTCTGTTTCTCTCTCAAGGCCACACCATTCCCTGCAGGATGGTGTTTATAGACCAGACATTGCTTCTTCCCACAACAAATCAGGTTCTTTCTCAAGGTTTATTCATAACATGTTACTGTTAATAAAAGTTTGTGTAATTTGTTATGACTCTGACTGCTTTCCATTTTTGTAAGTAGGGGGGGACGAACGCTGCCCAGATCAAAACAGAGCAGAATGCTGTGCCATTAGGGCTGTATGATGAACTGTTCTCTCTTTGCAAAGATATGAATAAATGTGCCGACTGAGTGAAATCCATCGATCTCCGTTTATTTAACTAGGATGAATAGTTGAATAATTTTTTATTTTTTTAGCTATGAGTTATTCATTTCCTGTAAGAGTTTGGAGATTTGTTTATTTAAAAGCACCATTGAAATTAAAATTCATTATTATTACTTAGTATAGTGTATGTTTAATATGTAATACAGTGCACTGCCTTTTTAATTCAAACTTTAACCCATATCTTTTGAAGCTGAGAGTTTCTTTGAACTCTCCTTTCATCCATCCATCATTTTAAACTTTTTTTTTCTTTTTTATGCTTTTTTTTTTAATCTGTAAATTTCTTACCTTACCTCTGTTATTTTATATGTATATTCTTCAGTATTATACTAATTTTAGTGCATTAAAATGATTAACCTATTAATCTTTAATTTAGTTATTTTTTGCTAGATTACATTTATTTATTTGATTATTTTTAAGGGAGAAGTGGAGGACTTTGTTTCAGCTAATTTTCCAGTATTTGATTTCTAATTATCTGTGAAGCTGTTAACAATCTGTTGTTTTGTAATTTAGTTTTCGAATTTCAATTTAAACTGTGCCGACAAAAGATTAATCTCACTGTCTCAAAAAATGGTTCGTTTTGATCCTCCTGCTGACCTCCAGGAACCTCGATGCCAGAAGTCCTCACTCCCTTAAACTTGTAACGGGGTATTGAGGCTGGAAGACTGCTTCCTCCAGGTGATTCCTGACACTACTGACAATCACTGTCCTCAGAAGAAATCAGTCAAAGAGAGTCCTGCCTTGACAATGCCAAATTGTCGTGGGAAAAAAAGTATTCAACTATTCATCCTAGTTTAATAAACGGAAATCGATGGATTTCACTCAGTCGGCACATTTATTCATATCTTTGCAAAGAGAGAACAGTTCATCATACAGCCCTAATGGCATAGCATTCTGCTCTGTTCTGATCTGGGCAGCGTCCCCCCCCCCCCCCCCCCCCCACCCCCCCACCCCCCTTCTTACAAGTCAGAGTCAAAACAAATTACACACACTTTGGTTGAAAGTAACGTGTTATGAATAAACCTTGAGAAAGAACATGATTTGTTACGAGAAGAAGCTATGTCTGGTCTACAAACACCATCCTGCAGGGAATGGTGTGGCCTTGAGAGAGAAACAGACTGAGGGAAAACTTTTATAGTGAGAAAATAGGATAAATTAATATATAATAGAAGAAAGATAAAAATTTTCCGACAACAACAGTAAAATTAAAACTTTGGTCTGGAATAAAAGGCAAATGTTTTCTAAAAACCACAGAAAGCAAAAACAGAATGTTAAACAATTAAACTTTAACTTTTAGTATGACACAGTAAAGTAGTAAGTTAAACTTACGGTGTCTTTAGGCAAAGCAGAGAACAGACGAAGTCTAAAGAAAACAGACTCTGAAATGGAGGCAGCAAAAATGAACCAGTTGAACCAGTTTACCTGCAGTCAAAACTTAAGCCTGAGAGGGAGGCTGGGCAGGTGGGAGGAGTTAAAAGGAGGGACAGTAACCAAGGCAACAGTACAAGATCTTTCACTTTTGACTCATTTGCATTTTATCAGTTTTAAGGTTACATTTTAGATATCCTTCTGTTTTTCTCTCTCTTTGTTGTTGTTCAGTAATTTCCATTAGTTGTTATTTTTACTTATATAATTATTTTCTAAGTACTTTTATTATGAGATCACCTAAAATCCTAAATTTCAGGATTTAGGATTCCTAGTATTTTGCTGAAATTAATAATTACATTCGATGGATTAGTTAGAACCAGACCAGTTTGACCTAGGATGGGACTGAATACAATCTTTCCGATTAACAGGATGTTAAACAATTAAACTTTGACTTTTAGTATGAAACAGTAAAAATAGTAAGTTAAACTTATGGTGTCTTTAGGCAAAGCAGAGAACAGACGAAGTCTAAAGAAAACAGACTCTGAGATGGAGGCAGCAAAAGGTGAACCAGTTGAACCAGTTTACCTGCAGTCAAAACTTGAGCCTGAGATGGAGGCTGGGCAGGTGGGAGGAGTTAAAAGGAGGGACAGTAACCAAGGTAACAGAACAAGAGCTTTCACTTTTGACTCATTTGCATTTTATCAGTTTTAAGGTTACATTTTAGATATCCTTCTGTTTTTCTCTCTCTTTGTTGTTGTTCAGTAATTTCCATAAGTTGTTATTTTTACTTATATAATTATATTCTAATTACTTTTATTATGAGATCACCTAAAATCCTAAATTTCAAGATTTAGGATCCCTAGTATTTTGCTGAAATTAATAAATACATTCGATGGATTAGTTAGAACCAGATCAGTTTGACCTAGAATGGGATTGATTACAATCTTTCCAATAAAAGGAAAAACAAAAAATTTTAATGAATAAAATACCTGTAGTAAAAGTATCAACAGAAATATTTTTTATAGAAGATTAAGGAAAAACAGATACAAATTTGTGTTTATTGTATTCATAGAGTATACACATATTTTACAGTACAGCAACAACGTTAGTTCAAAAAAGTCAGTGAATAAACTGATCAGGTATGAGCAACATTTACAAATAACCTATGTCCACTCAGTCCAGCTAAACTACATGTTCTGCAGCCATTAGAGCAGCAGAACATAAAAAGGAGTTGGTTGCCTCCTTCAAATGTGGACAAGGAGAGAAAATGACATCAGAGGCCCTGAATGTTGATGGACAATCAGCTGAAAGCAAGGCTCTTGAGGTGGAATTTAAAGGATCATCATCTGTGACTCTGAGGGAAGATTTCAAAGAAAGAAGAGAATCATTATTTCTAGACGCTGATGTATGTATTTGTGATGTTTATGCTCTAAACTTTGTAGAAATTAATGACTCGACAAAAGCATTGAAACCATTTGATTGAGTGAAACAGAAAATCCTGCTGCTCATTAAAAGCCAGAAAACAGTTTGATGGATGTTTTCCAGGGGCCAGTCTGAACCTGTCATGATCCTGGTGTTCTGAGATGCTCTGAGATGTTTCTCTGAACAGAGGATCTCTGTTGGAGGGCGTGGCTGACCTGCTGCAGACTGCATCCCTGTCTGCAATCACTTCCTCTGACTGCTGGTGATTGAAGAACTGTTAGACGGCCAGACTTCAGCAGCAGATTAGCTCCCTTGGTAGAGTCCAGCACCGAGTGGGTTTCCACCCTACATCAATTTCAGTCTTCTATTTCCTCTCTGGAAGCTTGCTTCAGGTGGATCTGCTGACCTCTGATCTGCTGACTCCTCATGCTTTCTGTGCCTCCCAGTTTGGATTTGTTCTTGGTTTCCATAGCAACCCTAGATCCTTCCATTAAAGCTCTCCATAACAGATCTTCGCTGGAAGTTGATGGGCTCCACGGTGGTCCTCTTCAGCTCCATTGTCTCCAGCCATCACCTGTCTGCCCGCTCTCCAAAACACTCAGTGCACAGACAATAGTTTACCTCCACATAGATTACTGTGCCTTGGAGTCATTCGAAGAATAGCAGAAGATGACAAAATGAATCAGTCACATTTCCCTCCACCAGGTGAAGAACTGAGACTTTGAAGTGATTTTATGTTCAGTTTTCAAACTAGTTTGATTTGGTTGATCTGAAGCAGCATTTCCTCTGATTAGATTGTCATCATCTTCTCCTGAGAGCTGAGTTCAACTCCAGCTCTGGTTCCTGCTCTGGACCCAGGGTCAGCCCGGTTCTGGAGAACTGCTCTTTTACTCAAAGTTGGTTTGGTTCACTTTGTTTCAGGGATGAATAACTGGGATGAATTAGTGTTTCAGGTCAATCAAAATGTTACTGAATTATTAAAGGAGCCATGCTGCAGTAGAAATGAGCAGAACTTAGAGCTGTCTTCCTTTATTCCATGTTGATATCAGCAGAGGCGCACCTTGTCAACAGGCAAACCAAGCAACTGCTTGGAGCCCCGAGCTGCTGGGGGGCCCCCGAGAGCCAGCTACTGTACATCCGGTAGATAAACAGCAACAGGCGAGCATGCAGTGGCAACGCTATAGTGACTGAGGAGATGCACAACTGCATTTAAAAATTAAGATTGGATGGAATGTTGATTGACATTGGCTTTGCCCAGTCAAAATCCAGCCCAGCCCAGCCCAGGTGGATGACATCCCTTAATGAAAATGAACGTAGCCTAGCGAATGGGTGACGTTGTAGGCCTATCGTTCAGTAAATTGGAAAGCAATTATGTAACTAAGCTGAAGGAAAATGATTCATTTTCCATGTCTCAAGAGAGACTTTCAGGACTGGCGCTTATTTCTATAGAGTATAGCGTTCGAGGGTCTTTGGATCTGGAGGACTTAGGCCCCGTCCACACAAAGTCAAAACAAACACAAAACACTAATATTTTCCAGAACGTTTGTCGTAAAGACAGAGACCTAAAATAAATGTGATCGACCACACGAATGCATGAAAACGCTGCAAAATGTATGCCAGGCCTGTAAGTGGCGCTGTGGTGCCAAAGCAAAAATAGGCAACGAAATGTTGGGCATGCGCACTAATATTTATACATTGCTGCCCTGCGGGTCCATTTTCGTGGTTCAGTCAAATTCAGGTGCTGAACTATGTCATCGATATTGCTCTGTTCTTCCTGGAGATATTCCAGAAGAAGAAGATTCTGTTGTAAGCCCGACAGCAGGGTGAGTAGCATTAGCAGCAACCATTCAACACAGTACGGCACCATTGTTGTTGTGGTACTGTGTCGCGCATGCGTGTTTAAAGGCGATGCTATGACGCATGTGTGTAAAAAAAAAATGCGGTTAGAGCTTAAAGATGGAAACGCGAAAACGGCGTTTCAAAATCTTCCCACTCTGAAGGCCTAATAAAAAAAAGATCGTTTACAGACCCCCGAAACGCCGGCTTCGTATGGATGAGAGGCTGGTTTGGTGAAAAATTTGTGCGTTTTGGCCAGGGTTTGGCTTCGTGTGGACGGGGCCTTAGTGTCTGCATTTGCACAAGCCAAGGCCCGTAAGCAGCAATTCTGGAAGCAGTATAGGACCCCAATAATTTCACTACACTTACTATACTTTATATTTTGTACAAAGTTTATATTGGGTTTTTAAAGTAATTTACTGTTTTTTTTATTTTATTATACATTTATTTTAATTTATTAGTTTATTCTTTACTTTTATTCTTTTATATTTTCCAAAATAACAAGGTTGTTCATGTTTAGAACATTTGGAATAAAAAAAGTTTTATTTAATACATTTTTCTTTGGTGTCAGATTATTTATAGCCTAACATAATGGTGATGAACACTGGTCAGTAGGGCCCCCTAGGATTTTTTGCTTGGGGCCCCCACAGACTCTAGAATCGCCTCTGGACATCAGAACCAGAACTGATGTTTGGTCGTGTAGAGCTCCAACATTGGATCTGTTCAGTCTCCTGTTTCCAATCAGCCTCCAGCTTCCTCTGCTGGTTCCCCTCCTACAGGAGATGGTTCCAGTTCCTCTGCTTTCTGCTGCAGATCATTTCCTCCCGAAGGATCCTCAGTAAAGATTGCTGAGTTGCTTTTTTATCTTCAGCCCAGAGATATGAGAATTTTCCTAATCCTCCAGTCCCCCCAACAGTCCTTCAAAACTCATGAATCCCTTTTCAGGTGTAAATGCCCCCATTACCGATGTAGTTGGAGAACCATTCCACCCGCTTCAGTTCAATTCAATTCAATTGAGTTTATTTATTAAGTGCCAATTCACGACACAAGTCAACTCAAGGCAATTTACAGTTCAACCAGATCATACAGACAAATTTAATCAAAATTCAACCAAAAATTCAGTTTTGGTTTAAGGTAATTAAATATAACTAAGTCTATGATATCAGTGTTGCCAACACCGGAATTTTTTCAGACAGGGGAAATGAAAATTGCTGCATAAGCTAGAATGCTGTAGGGAGGGAAAGCAAGAATATTTATGCAATAATGACCATCTGCCCTATTTACCAGGGGGCAAATATAACTCAAGTAACTTCAGCACAATCACTCCTCCACTGCAGCACACTGCGGTAAAATAAGCAATATATTCACAGATTCGGCTTTTCCGGATTAATAACTCGTCAGCCGATGATTTATTCTACAAAACAGACACCTCTCCACCAACACAGCAAGGCAGACAGTGAGCTACAATGGTAATTTCCTCAAAACAAGTCGCCTATCATGCTGTAAGAAATACAATGGACCCTATGCAGAACTCACTCCTCCCCAATGCTTAGGAACCGTCTGCAGTTGCAACACCATAAAAATAATCAGAGAGAAATTTTTAAAAGAGTCAAGGAGAGGTCAATTATTATCAAATTAATTTCATGTGTATCTCATCCCATGTCTTTCATACCACATTTATTGGATTCGAAAATAATACTTTTTTGAGGAATTTCCCAAAGCATAAATGACGAATGACACCTCTATTTTATTATTAGAATAGAAGTATAAATGAGCAATGACGACACTATAG